TGGTGGCTCTATTCATTTTGTGTTGTCTCTGTACCTTTCTGCACAAGCTGAAAGATGTTTGGCTGGTATAATTCTCTTAAAAACTTTGTGCATCTCCTGTGAATCTTATTGGGGATTCGCTCCATTCGACAAAAGCTACACCCACAAATCTCATTGACATAGGCCCATGGGGTGCAGAGAAGGCTGAAGGACAATGCCTTCAAGCTTCCTAGAAGCTCTATAGTTTGATTTGGAGTCTGTGATACATTCCCTTAATCTCTTCAGAAGGTCTTTTGCATGACTAAAGACTCACCTTTGCTCTTTCTCAATTCTTAAAGGATTTTACAGTCACCCCTTGGGCTTTATGCTTAGAGTATGCATTTCCAAGAATATCTTGAATTACATCTTTGCTTCGAAGCCATTTCTTAATATTTTTTAATTTTAGCATTGTTTGCTGCTATGGGTTATATTATGTCTGCCAAAAGGAAATGTTGAAGTACTAACCTCTAGTACTTGTGCATGTGACTTTACTTGGAAATAGGGTCTTTGCAGATGTAATCAAGTTAAGATAAGGTAATTAGGGCAGACACTGATCCCACACGACTGGTGCCCTTATAAGAAGAGAAGACAGAGACACACACGGAAACATCACATGCATGCCATGTGATGACACAGGCAGAGAAAGCCACAAGCCCAGGAATGACAAGGATTGCCAGCAACCACCAGACTCTAGGAAGAGGCAAGGAACGATTCTACCAGAGTCTCAAAGGAAACATGGCCCCACTGCCACCATGATTTCAGACTTCTACCCTCCTGAACTGTGAGGGAATACATTTCTGTTGTTTTCAGCCACTTTGTTTGTGGTGCTTTGTCACAGCAGTCCTAGGAAACTAACACATGTACCCCACGGAGAGCTCGGCAATCTTCAAAACCACATCAAGTCCAAGTCCCTTAATGGTAAACACCCTTCCCTTTAGGCTTTCTCTCTCTTCTCCACGGTACTATAAGCCGCAGTGAGAACACAGGCAGTGTTCCCAGCACTCAGGTTGGAAATCTCCTTAGCTAGATCGCTTAGTTGATTGGGTACATTTTCTACTTTCTGCGGGTAACAGTGTGTTACTACAGTTTTGCTCTACATAACAAGGCTCCTTTTCCTCCCATTTCCAAAAATATTCACCTCACTTTCCTGCAAGTCCTCACCCATAGTTCTATCAAAGACCATAAGACTTCTAGTAACAATTTCTTTAAGGAATTTTGGGTTTCCACTAAATACTCTTCTCCAAGCTCATTGCCCACTTCCAAATCTTGGATTTTTCTTGCATCAGCAGCCATCTTTCAGGTCCCTAAATCCATATTAGTTATCTGTTGCTGTGTAACAAATCGCCCCCAAATTTAGCCAATTAAAATAACAAGCATTCGTTATTCACACAGTTTCTGAAGCCCAGGAATCCAGAAGCTGCTTAGTGGGGTGGTGCTGGCTCCAGGTTCCCAGGTTGCAGCCAGCTGTCAACCGCCCCAGTGTGTTGCCATTTCTGAAGCTTTGGCTGTGGCTGCAGGATGCACTTCCAAGATTACTTGTGTGGTTGGGGGCAGGAAGCTTCAGTTCCTTGCCACATAGACCTCTCTATAGCGCACATTTATGACATCGTTTTGCTCAGAGTCAGTAATGAGAGACAGAACGCAAGCAACAGAGTAACCAAGATGGAAACTGCCATGTTTTCCCTGGGACAGTGTGGGACAGAACTACCCAAGCACATGACTATCAGGAGGTGGGATTTGGGGGACCATATTAGAAGCTGGATACTATAGATAATCTGTCTCTTGGCACATACACGTCCATCATTTTGGCTTTGTTTGGTGCTTTTAATTCTATTTTATAAGATTAATATTGCCAACAATTATGGGCTAAATTATATCCCTCTATATTCATACATGGATGTCCCAATCCCCAGTATCTCCAGGTGTGACCATATTTAGAGATGTGGGGTCTTTAAAGAGGTGATTAAGTTAAAATGAGGGTGGTAGGGTGTGGCCCTGATTCAGTATGACTGGTGTCCTTATGAGAAGAAGGGACATCAGAGCTGTGGATGCACAGAAGGATGGTTGTGAGAGGCAGTGCGAGGGTGGCCACCTGCAAGTCAGGGAAAGAGGCCTCAGAGGAAACCACCCCTGCTGGCACCTTGATCTTGGACTTCCAGCCCTCAGAACTGTAAGAAAATAAATTCCTATTGTTTAAGGCACCTAGTCTGTGGTATGTTGCTATGGCAGCCCTAGCTAACTAATATATCAACCATTTTCTAAAAGATACCTGAAAATATCTTGCTGTTGCCTGACATGTATTTACTCATCTTTTTTAAATCAGTTAAAAAATCATTTTTTGTTCTGATGCATATAATTAGATTTGTTTCTATATCAAATGTGCAATCTAATCTAATCTGAGAGTCTATGCTTTTACTAGGGGGGTTGAAACCTATTTCATATTGTAGCCCATTTGAAATCTAATCCTCCACCTTCCAGACAGAGGTAGGGGAGCTGGAGGGATTTATGGCCTTCCGAGATGGAAATGTGTCAGAAGCTGCCTCTCTACTGCTTATTGTGGCTGAGTGAAGAAATCACCTTGTAGTAGAAATGTTGTTTTCAAGAAATTATCAGATCAGCTCGGTTCAACATCAAAGCGTTAATCTTCCAGGGAGGAAAGGGGGTCTTGTATTGAACCAAATTAGAAGAGACAAAGGGGTTATCACAATTAATAGGAAGCAGATTTAAGGAAGCAATCCTGGAGAAATTTGCAAACCAAAGAGCAACCTGAAGCTGGGGCTGGTTACTCAGCTCTCCCAGCCTCACTGTGGGTATGCTTAAAGGAATGGCACTGGGGTGTCTTTGAGTCCTCTGAGAACATGCTTTCTGATCTGTTCTTCTTCGGTCTACCTCTGATTACACAAACTTCTGGCCCCTTATTTACCTTCTTTGCTTTGTCTTCTGCAGGGATTTGGAAAACAAGCCTCCTGTATTCATTACTCATGTTAGCTTTCAAATTAACGAAATATATATTTTAACCCATGCTTCTCTAATTATCAAAGTCAGAGCAAAAAAACAAGGTCTTTTTGCCTACCCTGCAATTAAAGTAAGAAATTCAGCATATTTTTACTTCATCTTTCATCTTACCTTAAGAAACAGTACAGACCCAGTCTATTATAGAACCAGTTAGTCAAGTTTTTAAAAAATTGTTTTTTCAAAAAAAAAAAAACATGTTTAGCTTCTGTATTTAATTTTGTAAATATTTTTTAAAAACACATATGTATTTATGGGGACCACCAATCTTTTTATATCTTGACTTCCTTATTTTTAAGTTATTCATTTTTATTCTTTTTGGTGTTCTATGAAGTAGGTCTTTGAATAATTTTTTTAAGGAAGGCTGTAGAAGTGAAATTGCTTCTGATTCTTAGATATCTGAAAATACCTTTCCATTGCCTGTTCTCATGAATTAAATTTGGCTTGGAATAGTATGCTTAGATTATGAAGTATTCTCTTTAGAAGAGTACTTACTACTCCATTTGGAGCTAGTGAAAAAGGATAGGACCTAGTCTAACTTTTTCAATTTTTGAATACATTATTATTTTCTATCTGGTTGCTTAAATAATAGTTTCTTTATTCTAGATTTGTAGGCTATGTCCAGGTATGGGACTTTTTTCCCATTAACATCTGGATTTTTTTTTTTTTTTTTTGTACACTGAGGGAATTCTTCTTCTACTATATCTGTGATTATTATTTCTGCTTCTTTTTTCCCAGCATTTCCAGGAATATTTGTTATGCACAGGTTAGATTTCTATTAATACCATTTCACTCTGCATCTATTATCTTCTCTTGCCATTTCATCTTTAGCCTTTTCTTCTATTGTCTTGGCAGACTAGTTCACAGATTGCATTTTCTCCAGTATTAATTCTGTTTTCTACTGCATTTATAGCATTTTCCCCTTTGGTTGCCTTTTTTTCTTATTTTGGCTGGCTCCACATTTGATAAGGGCAGGATACATGGAATGTCTTAGACCTATCCTTAATGTGTTCCTAGGATCTGATAGAGCCTCACCTCAGACCTATGATGGATTGATTTTCACAACCCCTAGCTCAGTTTCCAGCAGGTTCTCATCCAGTGTGGCTCTGTTCCACAAGGGTGGATCCTGACCACTTTCTGTTCCCAGGGCTCTTCTGCCTCCAAAGCATTTCCTAAGAGAAGACCCATCCCCATGTGCCTGCATGGGGATGTTTTCCCTTGTACACTCTGTGCCTCTCCCCACCGGGTGTTGTACTGGGAGACATGATATTGAAATTGATATAAAAAGGGAAGAACTGGAGGGGCAGAGTTGCAGGGGCCCAATTCTGGCTCTCTTGGAACCTAATTCCCATGCAGAAGAAGAGAAGCAGCCTGGATTCTGGTTACAGCAGCCCTGAGCCCCTGGGCTTGGAGGCCGTGTTGGCTATTCCATGTTGGGTCAGAAGATGAAACAGATATTGCTGGGGTGTGTGTGTGGGGGGGTTTCCTCAAACCACCACATTGCCACTGTACTTGGTGGGAATTCCCTCTAGATTTTGATACAAGGTTTTATTATTTTTGTAGAGCTTTGTGGGTATTTTAATAAGAAATAGAGGGCATCTCAGATTAACCCAATGTTAATTTTTACATATGCCTGATGCAGTTCCCCACCCCCAATAATGTATGCATTGCACATTTAAAACAATGAATTTTCAATTCTAATAAAGGCTAAACACTACTCCACTCATTAACTCCCATGGCAGCTAAATGATAGTTGTGGGTGAGATTCTAAAGGACAATATAAAGGGGGTTGAATAGCAGCATCATGGACTCCAGAGCAAGAAACTATGATGCAAAATGGCTGTAAGAACTTTCCAGACGCTTGTAATTAAGTTGACTCATCCTCTACTAAATTTAGCAGAATAGTTCACCAGCAAGCATATGCCTCAAACATATGGCAAAAGGAAAAATATAACACAGCATATCTTTACCTTATGATACATTCTGGCCACCAAACCCCGCTGTAGAACCCTTTCACGAAAATTCACTGCTTTCAACAGAAAGGCGAGACTACCAACTGTGTCCATGTTAAATGCCAGGAAACTGAAGGAAAAACACAATGACCAACATTATTATTTTGGCCTCACCAAAGAACTTCATTTGAAAGAGAGAAGAGGGTTGTTTTTTCAAGAAGAATTTTCTTCCAACAGAAAAATGGTGTAAATACATATAATCTCCCCATCTTATCTCTCACTGGCTGTATTTGTGCTTCTTTTCAGCACTTTCCCGATGAATGCTTGGCTCTAGTTTATTCTATAATATATGGTTGTCCTTGTGGTATAGAGATAATTTGGTTTCCAGTTTTTCCACTTACTATTGTATTATAAGTAGTGTTCAATATTTTACATAGTCTTTCTTCATGAATAAGAGCTATTAATTTCCATCAAGTGAGTTTATAATAATTTACTCAATGACTGTTGGAGATTTATCATAGTTATTATAACTGAATATCAATAATCAAATATATCTGTTACAAAGTATTTGCCAATGAATATTATTTATTAAATACCTTACATATCAGGAACTGTGCTAATTATTTTCTATGAATTATTCAATAGTCTCAATAATTCTAGGATACTATAATTATCAAATGTAGAGTTCAAGAAACTGAGGCTCAGCAAGATTCTGTAAATTGCTCAAGGTCACCAGGCAGAACACAGTAAGCTTGGGTTTTGTCTTGGAGGACACCAGTCTTTAAGGGAAGAGGTGCCCCACAAGGCAGTTAGAGCTATGAGAAAGCCCAGGATAGAGTGTGCCACAGACATGGTGACCTACTTCAAAAGGAATAATTTCCACCCACACTGGAAAATGAGGAAATTGAGGCACTGGGGAGTTAAGAGACTTAAGCACGAACAGACTCAGAGCAACCAAGTTTCCTTTAAAGCCCCATTGGCTTTTCATCATGCAACTCTGCCTTTTGTGCTAATTTTATGCCCTTCCACACCATGAAAACTTTAGGTAAACTTGACAAACAGGTAAGGGATTAATTCACACTTAGGGTTTCCCATAGGATACCCACTTCTTGCCTTCTGCTTTCCCCATATCCTGGGGAAGTAAGTTATTATAAGACCCAAATAACTTAGATTTCCATTGATTAAAATTTTTTAAAAACCCAAGTAGTTGTTGTTGCTTAATCAGAAAGCAGGAGAAAAACTTTAAGAAGCAATTGATGTAGTACTCTTGAGAATGCCAAAGTGCTGAATTAATAATTTCCTTCCATTTAGACAGGGAAGAGGGGAGATTATTTACACGCCAATTACCAGGAAATGTAAATGATATGAATGCCCATTCTGAATCTGGGCTTCAGAAGGTTGGGATTCTGTCTCAGTCTATTTAACTAAAGGCAAAAAGAACTCTCCTATTTTATTAAAAAGTATGTTTAGGCATTCCCAGGGCTGTTACTATGAAAACTGGAGATGGCAAATGGAAATAAGCTTTCTTGGGGTGCTGATCATGGAATACTGTCACCCAAGGACGTGGGCTGCACGTGTGCAGGAAACGGACCTCACCCACTCACCCTGCTGTGAGTCACATGTCATCCCCAAATGCACCATGTGGCTCTAGGAACTCACCCAGTGCAGAAAACTGAGCAGACTCTTAAAAATAGGAATATCACTAGAGACAACCTCCTTGTAATTCCGTATTTTACAAGAAGATCCAAATGGCCATTTTTAAATAAAATTTAGATTAAATTAAAATTCCTATCATTAGTCATCAGGGAAATACAAACAGAAACCACGATGAGGTAGTACCATACATTCACCAGAATGACTAAAATTAAATACACTGACATCAAATGTCACCAAGGATATGGAGAAACCAGAACTCTCATGCTTGTTGATGGGAGTGTAAAACTGTAAAATCACTCTGGAAAAAGTTCCCATAGCTTCTCATAAAACTAAACACATAATCTATGATCAGCAATTCCACTCCTACTATTTGCCTAAGAGAAATAAAAACATATGTTCACAAAAAGGCTTGTATAAGAATGCTCGTAGCAGTTCTACTCATAAGAATGAAAAACTGGAAACATCCCAGTTGTCTATCAGTAAGAGAATGAAAACCAAATTCTTACTACATCCATAAAATAAAATAAAATACCACTCGGTAATAAAAGGTAATGACAACATGGATGAATCTCAGAAAGCATCATGCCAAGTTCATAAGCCAGCTACAAAAGAGTATATAGTATGTGGTTCCATTTATATGAAGATCTGTGGTGGAAAAATATCAGAATAGTGGCTGCATCTGGGTGGTGGTCACAGGGATTGGCCAAGAAAGGAAGTGAGAGACTTTTTGGAGTAATGCCCCACACTTTAATAAGAGTTTTGGCTACACAGGTAAATGCATTTGTTAAAACTCAGTGAATGTACACTTAATATTTGTACATTTCATTGCATGTATATTCTCCATAAGAAGAATAAGAACTATTATCTAACATTAAACTCTAATTAAGGAGGTTCAAGCTTCATTATCTAGAAGTGCTGATGTCTATAGTTTACTTTGAAATGAATCAAAAAGAAAAGGTGAATTTATGGGTGAGTTGACTGATTGACACATCAATATATTTAACAGTGCAATGGCAAGTACGATAACATGTAAATGGTAGAATCTTCACAGTGGGTATGTGAATGCTCACTGTAAAATTCTTTCAACTTTGCTGAATATTTGGAAATTTTCAAATCACAATATGGAAAAACTTTAGAGTGCAAAGCAAAATCTTGCCTTTCTTTCTCCTGACACCCACTGACTCCTAGAGGTCTGTGGGCTGATGAGAGCAGTGAGAGCCCCAGTGGCAGGCTCCCTTTGGGGAGGGAGAGAGGCAGGCCTCGCAGGGACTGGCAAGGGAAGAATGGGACTGTTTGCAGAGCCACTTTCTTCCAGGACTTCTCTCCCGGCCAAGCCCCACCTGCCTCACCTGGTCCCAGGCAGCCTTTTCACTACCATGATCGACTCCTACCAGGTCCAAATGAGGGGTAGTCTCTGGGTGTCTGCACATATGGCTGACCACTGCAGGGGTTTCAGGGTACTGGGAAGTTCTCAGCCCATCTTTCCTCCTGTCCTCACCTGTTCATAAGTACTTCTTTTAGGGTTGTCACTGTGACTGCCGATCTACTGCTCTCTTGGAGCGTAGGCTCCATGAAGGCCAAGTGCCCCAGTCTCTGCTGTGCCACCAATGCACGGAGAGGTGCCCAGTACACAATGAGTGCCGAAAACATGTTGGACGGCAAAGGCTTTTGTTAAACGTAAAAGTCAGAGTAAGTAAAATTTGGGGATTTAAGTGGATAAACATAGACAGACTGAATCGAGTAAAACCTGGATGTGTGAAAGAGAAATGTGTACTGTTTTGGAGGTTAATAACCAAGACCAAAATAAATGAACTGGAACTTTCCAAATATTTACAATTGGAATACTGCCTTTGGCACTTCTCAAATCTGTCCTGGAAAATGTGCTAGGAATATAGATTTGCATATGGGTGAGAGCGTATCATGCTTTCAAAATGATGGAAACAAGCCCTGCTCTGCTATCTGGAAAAGAAATGAAAGGGCAGATGATTTGTGGTCAGTTGGGGAACAAGTTTCCTGAAAGGATGGAACTGATTCTGGTGGGGAATTGTACTCTTCTTTCAACTCCTTATATATTGGACAACTTTCAAACTAATAAGTTGAGGGGAAAGCCATTAGTACTATAAAATTCCCACTCAGGGTCTAGAAATATTAAAAAGATGTACTGACAGTCCGGAGTGTGTTAGGAAAAACTGAGACATTAAAACTGAGAGAGACTTCTGTGACATAGTCCTAAAACACGGGAGCTCATGTTTTCGAGCTTTAAGGGAGTGTACAGTTTGAATAAACAGGAACAGGCAGCTGCAATTACAAAAGAAAAAAAGTTCAGATTTCTTAATTTCAGCTCATCCTCATGGTTATAAAAAAGTCCCATACCATCATTTATGGTGTTTTCCAAGTGTTTAATCAGGATCCTGGGATTATATTTTCTAATGAACAGTTTCTTTGAAAATTATTTCAATACATTTGGATTGTGGAGACCAATAATCTCATTCCAAATAAAAACAATTGTTAAAAATATACAAAAGGAAAAAAAAAGCATAGTAAACTCTCCAAAAGTAGAATAAAGGAGATAATACATTTATGAGCATAATTGATGAAGTAGAAAACAAAGGTACAACAGATAGGATCAACAAAAGGAAAAGTTGGTTGTTTAAAAAATAATATTAAGCCAGGAAAACATCTGTGAGCTTGAGCAAGAAGGAAAGGAAAGGGCACAAGAAATGACTTTAGGAATGACAAATGAAACACAACTGTAGATCTGGCAGAAGTCAAAAAGACAATGAGAGAATAGTAAGAAAAACCTTACACCAGTAAATTCAAAACCAAACGGATGAATGGGTAGAAAAACATAATTACTAAAACTAACACAAGAAGAAAAAGCCTACTCCTAAAATAATTAATTAAATAGTTTAAAATATTCCCCCCCCAACCCAGATCATTTCAAATAACGTATTAAATTCTTCCACAGAATAAGAAACCACTCCCCAAATTACTCTATGAGAGCAATAAAACTTAAATATAAATCGAAATCAAGGAAATACAAGAACGGAAAATAAGAAGCCAGTAAGTATACAACCCTCTCCACCATCCCCCAAACACTAATGAGCTAAATCCAAGAAGATAAAAAGATGATAATACGGCATAACAAACTTGAGTGTTTCTTAGCTATACAAGGGTAGTTTAACATTAGAGGATTTGCAAAGATTTTTAATCAAATCAACTAATAAAGAAGAAATATTAGAAGATCATTTCAACAGATGCAAAAAAATCATTCAATAAAATTCAACTAATAATGATAAAAACACTTTAAAAATGTGTGAGCTTCTTTAGGAAGTAAATTATGTCTATCGAAAACTTCAGCAAATGTCATTCATCATAGTGAAATGTTAACTATTTTTTTTAAAAAAAGAACAGCAATAAGACAAAACAACATCTATGACTGCTTCTGTTTAAATTATATGGGAGTTTCTAGCCCTTGAAGTATGACATGAAAAGAATAAAAGGAGCAGCAACTAGAAAGAAAGAAATAAAAAATTATTACTTGCAAATGGAAAAACCCAAAGAATTTATAGACGCATTTCAATGAAATTTTTTTACAGTCAGATTTATATACAGAAGCCAACTTCATGTATAACAAACTGTTAACAACAAAATAGTTTAAAATATTCTTTTAATAACAAAACTATAAAGTAACTGGTAATAAATCTATGAAAGGGATATACTATGTTTGGGAAAAAATTATAAAACACTGGAGGACACTTAGAAGACTAAAATCTTTGTGAGAAATGTATGCTTTATAAATATGTCAAATTTTCTGCAAATCAACAGATCAAATACATCTTCGAAGAAAATTCCAGTAAGTTTTTAAAACTAGGAAAATACACATGACAAAACAGTCACTATTTTAACCAGCTCAATGGTATTCAGTACATTCACACTGTTGCACTGCCATCACCACCATCCATCTCCGGAACTCTTGTGTCCTCCCAAACTAAAACTCCGTATCCATTAAACAATAGCTATCCGTTCTCCCCTCCTCTTAGCCTGGCGTAACCAATATTCCACTTTTTATCTCTACAAATTTGACTACTCAAGCTACTTCATATAAGAGAAATCCTACAATATTTGTCCTTTTGTTTTGTTGTTGAGGAACTTGATAAGCTTATTAAAAAACTTACATGAAAGTGCAAAAGACCCAGCATAGCCAATACAATTCTGAATTATATTTCAGACATAATAATATAATACTATAGTAATATTTTATTGTAAAGCCAGAGTGACAGTGTATTGTTCGATCAAGAACATACAAATGGAATAGGAAAAAAACAGGCCCCAAATGGAGTCCCACACATATGGAAATTTAATAAATGCCGGAGTGGGCATTGTAGATCACTAGGGAAGGCGGCCAATTCAGTAAATGGGGCTAGCACAACTGACAATTCCTAAGGGAGAAAAAAAATAGTAGATCCCTTCCCCAAACCACAGACAAAAATTGTCGATGGATTTAAGAATTAAATGTGAAAGGTGAAACTTCCAAACTTTAAAAAATATATATTTCGTGGCCTCAGAGTAGATGATGCAGAAAGTGTTGAATATAAAAGACTGATAAATTCAAATATAATTTAAGAATTTATGTTACTCAAAAGACACCATAAAGAAAGTATAAGAAAAGCCACAGACTTGGAGAATATAATTATAGCACTTAACACTACAAATGACAAAGAGCCCCTAAAAATCAATAAGACACACACACAGAGAAAAAGAAAAATGGGCAAAAAACATGAACAGGCATTTTGTATAAGAAGAAATACAAGCTACTCAGAAGGCTGAGGTGGGAGGATTGAGGCTGCAATGAGTTACTGCACTCCAGCCTGGGCGACTGGGCTAGACTCTGTCTCAAAAAAAACAAAAAAGAAGAAGAAATACAAATGGCAAACAAAAACATGAAATCCTGCTCACCCTTAATATCAATAGCAAAAAAGGAAAATTCAGTTTCAAGTCATGGTGAGATCATTTTTTTATATTGTATTGACAAAAAATTAAGAAGTCTGATAACACCAAGTGTTGATAAGGATAGGGTATGGCTCCCCAAGATACATGCTGCTCATAGGGGTGTAAACTTATACAAATGCTTGGAAAAATAAGTTAGCACCATCAAGCTGAACACTAGCACACTTCACAGCATAGCACTTCCACTCCTAAGTTACTTATGTCCTGGAAGAGTGTTTCTCAAACAGATTGCAAATTACTAAAGGGCCATAAAATCAGCTTAAAGTACTGAGATCAGTATTCTTAAAAAAATAAAACTGAAAAATATCAGAGAGCATCACTAGTACTAATACATAGGGTTAAGTGAGCATTGTTTCAGGGAGAGCTTGCTCCAGCTGTGTCCGAGGCGGGGGTGCTATCGATGTCCGGGCATCCACGATGATGGGAAATGTATTTCTTGCTCTAAGTAATGTTACTTGAGTTTGAAAGCCCTGTACAAACTCTTGCACACATTTCCCAGAAAACATGTACAAGATTTTTTCATAGTAGCTTTGTGCAAAATATCAAAAAACCAGACACAACCCAAATGTGCACTAATATTGGAGACTGGAATGGGTAAGGAAATTATGGCATATACACAGGATGGAATATTATGAAACATTGTGAAGAACAGTTTTTCATCTGCACATAACAATTTGGATGAATCTTAATATTGAGTGAAAACAGAAAGTTACAGAATTCCACATATTATGCTTTATTTATGAAGCTGAGAGAGAGTACTAAAAGATCAATAAAAACAACCAAAAGCTTGGATTCTGAAGCCACACTGTCTGGGTTCAGACCCCAGCTCTGCCACTCACTAGCCATGTAACCTTGAGCAAAATGCTTAACCGCCGTGCCTCAGTTCCTCATATGTGAAATGGAAATTAGAACCTACCTTACGGGGTTTTCAGGGTTAAAACCTGTAAAGTGCTTGGAACAGTGAAAAAGTAATAAGAAAGAACCTAAGTACAAAGAAGAGAAGTAGCAATGTCTTAATTCTTAAGTTTGGTAGTGGGTATGGTATATGAGCATTAATTTTACATATTCATGGATTTTTTTGCATATATCAAATATTTACAATTTCAAGCAAGAGTGAGTTGTGTTATATCAAGGCTCTATAAACTCAGGCTCAATGATAACACCCTAAAGGAAGGTGATGATGGAGGCCTGAGCAATACATACCTGGTTCTCAGCTTGTCACCCACAGACTCAGCCCAGTTTTGGAGCAGGCCAGAGAGTGGCTTTTCTTCATAGTGTTTGGTGCATTGGGTCAGCAGTTCCCGCCCTACAACCTGTGCAAAGAGTTTATCACTCATCAGCCATGACTCAGCAACATAAAAAATGCCAGAGTGTCATCAAATACTGCAGCCAATCAGGTCTATTTGCCACTAGCAAACTCCTCGGAAGGAATCGAATATAAGACCCCATCCTTGTGGGGGCAAATGTGGGGAATTTACCACACCACCCTCAATCCCTCCCCATGGCAACTTCGCTAACTACTCTCAGCTCTCTCTCTCCTTGCCTGTATCAGCCTCTAACACTTGTCCTGGGACCAACTATTTTAGTTGACACTTCAGATGAAACCTGCTTGCCTTCCGTGGACCAGATGGCTGGTCCGTTTTCTTTTTTGCCTCTGGCATTCTCTGGTCAAGTGGGCCTTTGGGAAATAATATTAAAATGCACAAATAAAACAATCTCTATCAATCTCCTTCCTCCATCAGCAGCTCTAAAGTTATAATTTGAGCCTAAAATCCTACATATTTTTCCAGGTTTGTTCAAAGAAGATGTCCATGGCTAGCCTGCTGCAGGGAAAGGCTCAGGTGACAGCAACAGCTGCTAGATGTGTGAGCGAGGCCACCTTGGACCAGCCTGTCCCCTCCTGGCCCCCATGTGCTGCTGCCACAGCATGAGTGAGCCCAGGCAAGACCAGCTGAAGAACCGCACTGTGTGAGCCCAGCCCAAACTGCAGACCTGCAGAATCATGACCTAACAAACTGTTGTCTCAAGGCACTAAGTTTTGGGGTGGTTTGTTACAAATCAACAGATAGCCGATTCATTCTCTTTCAACTATCAATTCAGAATATTTCTTCTTTGCTTCATATGCATGCATGTTTTACATGAATCATATAAAATGTTATAAATTAATATGATTTCAATCAACAGTATATCACACATGACATTTTTGGTTTGTATTGCTGTATAGGATTCTATTTGTGTGTTTAATGGCTGTATAATTTACTTTGATCAATTGTAGCTAACTACATATTTCCATTTGGCTGAAGATTTAGGTTGTTTCCAATTTTACTGTCATAATAACCTTAATGTCAATATAGTCAGACAAATAGCATCATCCTTTCCTGGATTATCACCTGAGAATCAATCCCCATGAGCTTGCCTGACACAGAGATTCTTAAAGAGGGCCATCCTACCTACCAGAGGGATGCTGAAAACCTGTCCAGGCATTTTTGCCTGGGGGAGCTTTATTGGCATTGGTTGGTACAGCCAGCTGTGCAATGCTTGGGGCAGTCTCAACCAGTGGAGAACTGCACCATGCCCAGTGTCAAATGGCCATGCAGTCAAATGCACGCAGGCCATTGAGTGCCCAGAGCCCAACTCAGTTCCACCAAAGCTTTCAGGTTCTCCCAGTCCCAAGCCCTTGGAAGGAGTAAACTTCCCTGCCTCTTTGAAGTTAGAGGTACAGCTTAGGCCAGTGCATGAATGTCTCAGCCATCCTCTCCTTTCCCATTGCCATGGCAACCTGCAATGTTCCTGGTTGTGAGTCATCCATAAGCCTGGGCCTCAGTCAGCATTCGAAGTTGCCATGGTAATTCTGTGTATAGATGCATGCATGGTTTTGTCTTGCTGTGTTTGTGTTTACTTTATTATAAATTATTTTCCTTTGGTTTCCTCGAAGTATTGTCTTGAATTCTTGAAATTATGTCTCTAGATAGGTTATGAGATCCATGATTCTATCTCTGGTTAGTAAAGGGAGTGTTACAAAATATTTATTGTCAAAAAGAGGGCATTATGTCCGATGGGATTGAAAATCGCTGTATTACAGGTCAGAGAACATGAACATTTTTAAGACTGCTGCTGTAAAAAGTAAGTGTGAAAATCAAACACTGCCAGGATTGGGGAAAATGAGCTAACATTAAGTAGAATTAAAATTAAAATGGTATAGCATTCAAGTTGTTTAAGTAACACAACACTAGGATTAACATTAACATTTTTTGTTTTTGCTAACCAATTAAATTTCTGATGGCTCTGGCTCTGTCTCTTTCTTGCTACAAAAGCAACATCATTCCAAGTATTAACAAATTGCTTTTTCTGATTCCTGCCCCTACATATTTTTCCCTTACTTCATTTTTCTCCATAGCATTTATTGCTACCTGGTGATTACAGAGCACAACAACTTGTTTCCTGGCTAATTTTCTGCAGCCTGGAATAAGAGTGCCTGGAGGTCACAGTGTGTTCATCCTTGTACCGTCAGACGTTTAGGACACAGAGTTGGGAGCTGAATGAGTGAATGGATAAACAAATTCTTTTCCTGTTCTCATATCTTATGCAATATGTTCAATTCCTTGATAATCTCTTTTAACTTCTGTCGCTACTTCCGCCTTTTCCATTTAAGCAATTTAAATTGGGAAAATGAACTCACTCTAACTAGAATTAAAATTAGAATGATATAATCATCAAGTTCAGGTGCTAAACTTAAGAGAAAAGGGAGATAAATTGGGTCTTGGCTAATATCACAAAAGCAAATCTCTCATTTCAGATCTTTTCTCCTTTTCTAGGTCATGAGACAAGGAAATATGATTTTAAAAATGAGTTTATTGTCTGCTGTTGATGCCCTATTGGCGAAAGACTAGGTGATTGAAGCTATCAGCTACCGTGGGATTTGGCCATCACTGACTCTAGATTCAGTGCTTTATTTGATAAATTACCAGGGGGAGGTAAAGATAGATCGGTCACCACCTAGAGCAGGCATGCAATGAAGATGTGCCTGTTTCACCTCATGGATGTGTTCCTGAATATATTATGCTAGGTAGTGTGTGTGTATATACATATATACATTTTAAAATCTCTGTTTTAAAATAATCATAGACTCACAGAAGTTGCAAAGTTAAAACAGCACAGAGAGGTTCTCTCCAGACATCACCCAGATTCCCCCAAAAGTGATCTCTCACATAACAATAGTGATTATCAAAACCAGGAAATTCAGTAAAATTTTTATTCATTAAATGTTTTAGTTTTTGCAGAGATTTTATTATTTAAAGTGGACCTAGGAGTAGGTAATTTTGTAAAGTGAAACACTATTTTTTGCAATGCAAGTGATTACATCCTTATCTAAGCCTGGTGTTTTATTTATACCAGATTTTCTTAAGACAACTTGTGATACTATTTCTTTCTAGGTGATTTTGGGTGGCATTCCTGTGCTTCTTTATATAGCTCGTTTCTACATGTGAATACTCTTAATTTTCTTATATACCTGTTCAGGAGCCCCTTTCTTAACAGAACTGAATAGTCAGAACAACCATGTTCTTTTCTTTTAAAAAAAGATCCCATCTGCAGGAGGAATCAAGTTAATGTACAGCCAACATTTGGAAACTGAGAGTCTCAGCAATTGTGCAGAATGATGACATCATAAACATGCACTTATAATGAATATCATATCCATCACGTAGCACTGATTATGTAACACCAATAAAAGTTATTTTTTAGGTCAAATCGCTTTTCAAGGCGTCCACGAAGCCACTAGCATTTCTACACACTAAGTATTTCACTGATTTATGCTAGGTACAGTGAGACTTGGATTAAAAAGTCTAAGAAGTGGGGTTTGCTGCCAAGGCAGAAACACTTAGAGCCAATTAGAATAGAAAAATACAATTCCTAAGGAAAAACCACCAGATATCCATCCTGGATCCAGGCAGCGGGGCTGCACTTGGGTTTGTACCACATGGGGTAATGGATCAGTTCAAAGCGGCAGTATTCATGGCACAGGGTCCCAAATCATGCTCTAAACAGCCCGAGGCAGGACTAGCTACATAATTTGGGGCCTAGTGCAAAATGAAAATGTAGGGCCCCTAGATCAAAAATTAGTAAGAATTTTAAGATGGTGAGAACAGAGCATTAAACCAAGCCTGAGCCCTTCTGAGTGTGGGGCTTGCACCACTGCACAGGTCTCTCCCCATGAAGCTGGCCCTGGCTCTAGGGGTTCCAACAGGATTGCCAGGTAAAATAAACGACACCCAGTGAATATGTGGACACCCATACCTGCATACTATACTAAAACACTATTTGCTGTTTACCTGAAATACAAATGCAACTGGGTGTCCTATGTGTCCAGATGTCCTTGCTCCATCTGGCAAGCTAGGTTCCCGAGGGACAGTTCAGGGGTCACCCAGAGGTGCAAGGATGAAGAAAAGACCAGGTGGACATGATTCTCCACCAAGCATTTTAACGTTTCACCTCTTTTAGATGCTGGACATCCTGTCAAGGCAGGATTTCTGTAAGGAGAATCTATAAAAATTCCCTGGCTAGATGAAATGAAAGAGATAGAAAGAAGGAGGGAGGCTAGAGGATGGGAGGGGAGGGGAGGAGGGAGAGAAGAGAAGGAGAGGGGAGAAGGGAAGGGCTGGCTGGATGGAAGACAGCAGAGGAGAGGAAGGGCTACTTTAAATTAACACATACACCAACATGTAACATGCTCTGAGTAATCGCTGGGCCTTAAACATGGATTTGAACTTTAAGGAGGATGGATGGATGTGAAGCAGTGATTTAGGCCTGGCGAAAATTCATGCACAGTTCAGTTGAACTTAAGAGTGATTAGGTTTTGTTGTTGTTGTTGTTAGTTAAATCTGAACCCAATTTAACTTTTCTTCTTAGTGTCTCTTCCCAGTTAGAAAATAAACCTCCTTTGTGGTTTCCCTCCTTCACTCTGCCCACATTTATGGAGCACTTACTGTGTGTAAGGCACCTACTGTCTACATTGAGGGTGGAGGGCTAACGAGAAGACCAAGATCCAGCTGTCTCGCAGGAGCTTCTGGCCCGACAGAGACGAGCATCTGCACACACGGCTATGTGGCCTCCGTGAGGAACACGCCAGGCACAGAAGCACAGCAACTCAGCGGCAGATCCCCTCCGTGTGAGGACTCGGGAAAGCCTCACGGGGGAGGGAGCTTTTGACCTGAATCTTAAAGAACGGATGAGCTTCCTGCATCTGTTCATTCTCTTATTCAGCACTTAATGCTTTATGGTGGCAAGAGCCATGTTCTCTGAGCACCTATCAATACTAAGGGTAAACCCTGCTCCAAACTCTTCATACGGAACAACAAATTTAATTGTCACGACAACTTTGGGTAGTTAACAGAATCACCCCACTGTCCACACAAGGCTACCAAGACCCAGAAAGGTTAAGCCAGTTGCCAGGGTCACACAGTCAGGAAGTGGTGGGGCTGGGGCTTCAACCCAAAGTCCCTGCTCTTAGTAATTCCACACCTAAGCTGTGCCTACTGTATGCCAGGCTCTGTGCTGGCTGCTGGGGATACAAAGATAGTGCAGGGACCCATGGCACGCAGGGGGGCCGGGCAGGAACAGACGACAGCACGGTATAATGATGAGGTGACAGAAGTGAACACAAAGCTCAGTAGGCACAGGCAGGGGATCACACGTGACATAAATTCTGAATCTGAGACAGAGCAGGAGGGGCGGCAAGGACATTCAGGGCTGGAGACAGAGTGCCTTCAGAGGCACAGAGGCAGGGAGAGGCGGGAGCAGGAGGGCTGGGGCAGTGCCGCGGCTGTGGCTGCCCTTATGGGGGAGTGGGGAGCTGGGTGACAGCATCAGCCCCGAGGCCAGTCTGGAGGCCACCAGCGGAGCCATCTCTGCTATCCCCTGTCAGAAGTTCTGGCCCAAGGAGTCCAGGGTCCCAACCAAGTGGTCGGTTTTATGCCGCTTAAATTTGGTGAACTCCCAGGAATGCATTGGCCCAAGGAAGAGAACTCAAAATGCTCGCCCGGCCCTCACTTCTCCCCAGGGACGGACACCAACTCCTTCCATCACCTCCTAGGGCCATGCTGTCTGGAGTAGAAATGTTCTAGAGTCTGGGGTTAAGGGTCTGCACCTACTGTACACAAGGCTCTGAGGCTCCCCCTACCTCACAGGTGGCCTTTGTTTGACTTGCCCTCTGCTATTTCACATTAAAAACAAATTGTGTGCTTACTTCTGTTGAACACTTGGACGCCCAAACTCACGTTCTCCCAGAGCAACTGTGTGTGGGAGCTGAGGAGCAGCCGCAGCCCCCCTGAGAGGGGTCAAGGGCCTTCTGTGTGCACTGGTCCCCGCAGAGCCCTGGGACTCAGGGGCTTCTGCAGTGGTTCAGGCTCTGCCTGGCCCTGAAGGCAATTGATCTGGTGGCCCTGGTGTGGGCCTGGTCTGAGGATCCCATGCAGCTGGCATGAGGAGCCTGGGATTGTGTCCCTGCCCCACCCCTGCCCTCTTACCGTCACCCTCATCTGGCCCAGTGCACCCTGAACTGTGGAGGCCAGCTGAGGAGCGCCAGCCCCCAAGCCCCACACAGACTTTTCTTTCTGGCTCAAACCTCTCACTAAAGAGGGAGAAATGCCAGCTGCTCACCCCCAGCCTCTCGTGCACCGGGGCACTGGCACCGACCTGGCCAACGGGACCTGAGAGGACCTCAGCTGAAGTCTTCCTCCTAGAACTGTGGCAGCTGTTTGAACACACCACTGAGATGACCGGGCACTGCTCCCGGGCCAGAGGAGCTGAACACAGGAGAGATGCCAGGGATTCAAGGACAGACAGGCCTCTGAGCCAGCCCTGGGGTCACCAAGGAGGATGGCAGGTGTTCTCACGGTTTCAGCCACTTTAGACGGGTAGGGATGACATGCAGACAAAGGTGTCCTGACAGCCTCACTAGCAGCTGGGTCCAGATTGAACTCCTAATGCTAATGTGCTCACCTGCCCCAGTGCAGATGGGGCTGCTGCTGCCATTCCCAGGACATCCCATCACTAAGATGGGATGGGCCTTCCCATCCCCCCTCCTGCCCCTGCCCGCTGCCCCCCGTATCTCCCTCACTGCCAGCAAGTTTCCCCGCAGTGCACACACGTGTCACTTCCCTCCTGACACTCAAGCCCTAACAACACTGTCCAGTGTAGCTGGGATGGATGTGAATTGTGAAGTTAACTTTTTTTATTAAAAAGAGAAAGTAACTAAAATCCTAAATCTACAACAAAATAAATATTTGAATGGCAACCAGGAGAATGTTAAAAAAAAATAAATCTTATTTAGTTTTTTATAACTTGAGTAATATGTAAACCCTTTTGAAGGGAAAAAAAAATTCTCCTTAACCCCCAATGTTGACTTAAGTTGTTTCAAATTATAATGTTACTTAAACATGTTCAAACATAAAACTAGATATAAACACCTTATGTTTATAGCTCTTGTTCAACTATAAACTACGAAATTAAATACAAGCAAAACTACAAAACCGATGAGATTCAAATCGACAGCACTAATAGCATGTGGCGGACTGTGTTTGACAGCATGAACTTGGTCCTTTCTGGCCCGCGCGGGTTCATATGGGGGGATTATACCCCTGAGGGCTGGGGAGAGAGGCCCCTCTCCCCCACTTCTCTCTGTGGCCTGCAAAACCCTCTGCTATGATTTGAATGTGTCCACTCCAAAAGTCAGGTGTGGCCAACATGGTAGTATTAAGAGGTGGGGTCTGTAAGGGGCGATGAGGCCACAAGGGCGGCTCCCCCGTGAATGGGCTCGGCGCCTTGACAAAGAGGCTTCGTGAAACATTCCCCTGCTTGCCTTTCCGCTGCCTTCTGCCATGGGAGGACGCTGCATTCAAGGCATTATCATGGAAGCAGAAAGCAGTTCTCACCAGGCAACTGGATCATGGGCTCCCCCAGCTCCAAAACTGCGAGAAATAAATTTCTGCTCTTCACCACTTGCCCAGCAGTATTCTTTCCTAGCAGCACAAATGGATAAGACACCTGTTCAGGCAGCACATCCCCTGGCCCTCGCTAAACACATTCTTTTAATCATAGAAAACCTACATCTGTTCTTTCCTCATTGGTTCCTGGTGATCGAGGCGGTGTTATCTGGTACCAAAGCGCTTACAAATGCAACACAACCCGCCATCTCTGGTTATACGGTTGCTATCCCGATGATCTACATATAGCACTTAGACTATTTCTGTTCAGATGATCGTCAAAATTAAAATGCAAAATTAGCACATTCTTGTCAAGAATTCATAGACCCCAATTTGAAAAACAAACGATAAAATCAAACTTGTTGCAAAACTCAGAATCTGTATAGAAGGCGTGACTTTGGGGAGAGGAGAAGTAAAGATAAACAAGTGGCACAGATTCAGAAGGCCCCTTTCTCCAGAGTCTCACACGGGGAGTCCTTGAGGACAGCTTTAAATATTTAGATGCTGCAACATCTGGTTCTGAAAAAATGAGTGCCAGCTTTGCATACGGGTCAATGGATTTAGAAAGAAAAATACAGAACTCGTCTGTTCAAACTACCTTGGTCAGCTTTTCTAAAATCTTCTCAAAGCCCCTCCAAATTCTAAAAAAATAAACAAAATCAAAACCATCCCAAAGCTTCTCCAACCTCCCCCAAATGAACGATCACATTTTGGAAATGCGTCGTATCAATCCTGTGGCCCAAACAGATCCTCCAGGCCGCCTCCTCACTCCATTTCCAATGGCCCCACCACCCACCTGCAGACTGAGACATGGGCCCAGGCCCACTCTTGGCCTCCTCCCACCCTGTGGGCTTCAAGGCCATCCCTAGCCAGGCCTCTGCCAGCCTCTCTGGCCCCATTTCATACACCTGTAGCCCTCCTCCAATTTTTTCTGCCATCATCAGAGATGACTCTTTCCCTATCTGTAGGGCTGGGGAAGGTCCTTTGAACCATTTGCCCTTGATTCCATGTGGCCTCAGCCCTCCCTTGTTTCCTCTCTAGGAAGGCAGCTGATCTTTCAGAGAAGCAGAACTGTCACCCATGACCCTGTCACCCCCGGTACTAGCCACTTCTGGCATCCTTGCTGTTGCCATCAGCTCTCAGGCCCTTTAAGACTGGCACTCCATGGCCATGTGATTGGATGGACCCAACCTTCACCTCTGATTTTAGGAGTATCTGCACTTTCTCCTTCTGGCCTCTCAGAGTCTTCACCTGCTGGCCACTGGGCCTCACCTGCAGCCAGAGGGCTGGGGCACAGTGACAATGTTCCTCCAGGTTCACTACATGGATCCTTCCTGGCACAAAAGGAGTTCAAGTTCTTCAGCCCAAGGTCCTGTGCACAGCCACTCCCTAACCTGGACTGGCCCCAGGGTCTCAGTCTAGCACCTAAAGTCCTGCTTATCTGGGGTAAGAATTTGGAATTCTCCTCCTGGTGGGAGTGGGGACAGCAAGCTTGCTTGAGGGGCCAGGTGGGTGTGCCTGAGCATGCCACACATGGGCCTTTGTTCTCTGGGAAAGGCCTTCCTTTCTTTGTTACTCTTCATTCCTTCTCTTCCCTCCCCTGCTCTTATACTTAAGGGACGAACTATTCTTTTAAAAATAGTTTTAAATATACTGGATTTTTTAAAATTGAAAACCACATTGAATGATCTTAAAAAGTAAAAGTCTCCTACTCAATCCTTTACTTCCAGGCCCTCACTCTAGAAGTAATCATTTTTAAATAGTTTTTGTTCTGCTAGAAGGAGAAAGCTTCCAAGTGTCAAGGTCAAAGAGATTCTCATGTCATGTTTCAGTTTGCTTCATAGTCAGGGCATGCTTTTCTTGAGTGGTTTTGTTTTTCCTGGAGTCTTAATGGACTTTTCTTTCTCTCGTTTCAAGAAGAAACATGCCTTTTCCATCCTATCACTAAGATCTTCTTGCTTCTTTTTGTTGAACAGAAATCATCTCCTTCTTAAAGTCATTATTTTGATCCCTCTGGCCGCCCGTTCTAATGTGGACTAATTGTTTTTTGGGCTTGCCACGTTGCTAGCATCCATGTGTTTCTTTACACATACTCCTCTTGGGTCAGTTCCAGGAGGCACACAAGTCTTTGAAATTCTTAATTTCTTTCATGCTTTTCTGCAGTTCACCCACAAGTAACATTTCTCGGAAAAAGCGTGACCAGGTTAATTTATTGTGCATTTGAATGTCTGTCTTTATTTTGCCTCATATTGGATCAATAATTTGGCTAGCTGTAAACCTTTACATTCAAAATAACTTTCTTCAGAATTTGGAAGGCATTGCTCCAAAGACCAGCAGCCACGGCATCACCTAGGAGACCGATGGGAATGCAGAATTCCCCAACCCCGGCATCTGAATTAGAACAAGATCTCCAAGGATGTACGAGCACATTGGAATTGAGAAGCACTGTTCCGTCCTTCAGTCCCGCAGAAAGGTCTGTGGTCAATCTCTTCTCCCACAGTAAGTACTCACACATGTTTGTAGCCTGAGGGTATGAGGCTCTCTCTTTGTCTTGATATTCTGAAATCCTCCAGGCTGTTTTCAGGCTTTTACCTTTTCTGGTGGGTCCTGCCAATCTCAAGACGTTTGTCTTTCTTCAGCTCTAGGGAACTTCCTTCTATTTCTCCAATTGGCCTGCCTCTGTATACTCTCTGCCCCCTCTCTCGGGAACGTTACAGATTTCCTAGACTGATCGCCCATACTTCTTAGTCTTTCTCTTTAATTTCCCATGTTTTAGTCTTTCTGATCTTCATTCTGGGAAGTTTTCTCAAGTTTGTTCTTTAGCCCTTATAGTGGATTTTTTTTATTTTGTAAGAGTATACTTTTAATTTGCCAGGCACTGTTATGGTTCTCTGAGTGCTCCTTTCTCATAGCAGGCTGTTCTGGTTTTAGGGGTACAATGTCACATCACACATCCTTAGAGTAGCTGATTAGTTTTTATTTCTCTGTTTTGCTTCCCCTAGTGTCAGTTATCCTGTGTGTTCATTTTGCTCCTTCTTTTTAATGCTGCTGATTTTTCCTTTTATGTCCGATCATCCTTTTGGATAATATTATGGAATTATTGCTTATTTTCTTAGGTGTGATGACAGTATTATGGTTTTATAAGAAAAGGTCCTCATAGAAAATGAATGTTGAAGCTTTTAGGGATGAAGTAGCTTGATATCTATAATTTACTTTCAAATGGTTTCATGCACATACATACACACATACACGCTCGTTCACTCACACACACAGACAATTAGAGGGTAAAAAAGAAAATATTAATATGGAAAAGTGTTAAAATGTGATGAAACCAGGTGGAGAGTATGTCCAGATGTTCACTGTACTAGTCTTTCTACTTTTGCCTTGAGATTTCTGTCTGAAAAATTTCATTGTAAAAGTTGGAATCCAGAAAAACAAAATAAAAATATCTATTAATGCTTGATTGCTGATTCTCTGAATAACCTTAGGAAAATACACTACAGGGTCCGACATCCCCAAGGAATCAGCTTTCTTATAGGAAAACAAGATGTCTGCTTGGTCTTTGTTTCCTCCCTCAGTTCAAATTTAATAGAAAGTACAAAATATCACCGGGCCGATGCCCCAGCGGTACATGCCCTACATGGCACACATCAGCTGGCCTGCCCCAAAGCACAGCTCAGGCATTCCCCCCAGGGGAAGAAGAGCTGGCCCTCCCAACCCCTGCAGGAGAGCCTGTCCTGTCCCACACCACATCTTGGCTGAGTCTGAGGTTGAGTGTTTTAAGCACAAAAATAGTTTGATTCTCACGGCTGCTCGCTGCAGCCCAGCACTAAAATGAGCCAGCACTTCCTTCTGTTTGGAAAAATATCTTTTGCTCTTTTGGACATTGGGCTTGGTGTTATCACTGCCAGGCTCCCAGTTACTAGGCACACATCTTGCCATCAGCAGTTCCAAGACAGAAGTCTCTGGAACAGAAGCCACCCAGACCACTCAGGAAGAGGAGTCCCTGCTTGGTTTTTAAGCAAGTTAATGGCAGGTCATTTGCATTTTTGCATATTTGCACTGTGGGGCAATGAGCAATATATGCAAAGCTTCTTACTGACATTCTTTAGGAAATCTACCAGAATGGATTAGGAAGGGGCCTGTCTTGGAGTATCTCTAATGAAGCAAAAGAAAGTTATAATGGGATTTCATGGGTGTGGGTAGTAATTGGATTTGGTGGAGGGTATAATCAAATTTCACCAAGAGCCTACAACCTCTGACCCTTGAAATAATGAAAGGGTCAGGAAACCTTCCATCATGTGTAAAGGGAAACATGTAAGGCCTGCAGAAACTCCACAGCACATCTCCTCCGTCATGGAATGACAGCCCCAGCACTTTACAATCACAGAGCAGTTTCACCCTCAGGGAGGGACTGAGGGCACGGTAGGTAATGCCAGAATGTTGTGAAACTCATTGGCCAGTTTCCACCCTCTAGTATCCTGAAATTTCCATCTCTGCGTCAGTAAGGAGAATGAAAGCAGAATCCAGTGGGAGAAGGGCGGACTCCCCAAGGTGGGCGGGTCCCAACACGCAAGGATGAGGCCTCGTGGCCCAATGCAGGCAACCAGCACCCCCGCCTGTCATCACATAGGCATCACCCCGGATGCCCGGCAGCCAGGAACTCTGGGTCCAACCCACAGCGTGTCCACTGACAGGATTCCAGCACAGGAGTGTGTGTTGACCAACGGCAAGCATGCAGGCTGACCCCCCTTCCCCAGCACTAAACGGTGTGCTCAGGGGTCTCAGTCTCTCACCCCCGGGGACCAAGCTCTCCCCACACAGGTGGTTAAGTTTTCTTCCCAGAGCAGGTTTCTGGAGCTGTGGCAGATGCCATTGCTGTGGTCAGGTGCTCTGATTTGGGAAGCTGGCCGTCCCGCTAATAGGCAGACCTTTATGGAAACACCTGACTCTGCCCAAATGCCTCTCCCGCTCCCAGTGCCTGTGACCCAGTGTCCCTCCAGAGCCGTGCAGGAGAAACACGTTCACCCTCTAGCTGTGTCCACTCAGCTTCTGTCTTGGTCAGCTCAGGCTGCTAATAAAATACCTTAAAGTGGCTGGCTTATAAAGAACACAAATTTATTTCTCACGGTTCTGGAAGCTGAGAAGTCCAAGATCAAGGTGCTGGCAGACCCAGTGTCTGGTGAGGGCCCACTTCCCGGTTCACAGATGGCACCTTCTCGCTGTGTCCGCACACGGTGCAAGAGGCCAGGCAGCTCTCTTTCATAAGGCACTAACCCCAGCCGGGAGGGCAGAGCCCTCATGACCTAATCACCTCCCAAAGGCCCCATCTCCTAAGACAATCACCTTGGGGATTAGGTTTCAACACATGAATTGTGGGGGGACACAAACAGTCAGACCACAGCTGGTTAACCCATCCATCTCATCCCAATTTCAGGCTGTGCTTTCCATTCTCCAGAAATTGGTCGTCTGATGGCTCCTCTCCCACTGTCCGTGTCCTTGCAGACTATTCCCTTTTATCATTCCTTCTAGTCATTTCAGTAAGATTTGAAGAGGGAGGAGCATCAGCGTGGGTGCCCACATCGCCACCCTCAACCCGAAGTCCTCCCCTCGGGGTCCAGTCCTACTTGTGCTGCAAGGTCTGCGTGCCCCCTGCTTTCCCTCTAATTCTGGACGCCCTGGCGTTGCTTCCCCGGCAGCCACCACCACGCTTTATCTTCCCTCTGCTTAGCAGCGCAGTCAGGAAGGGCACAAGCCTTATCACAGGGCAGCATGTGCACAAAAAAGTTAACACGGCAGGCCCGAGACTGCTCCCCTTGGCTGCCATCCTCCGGAACCGGGATCGGGGTAGGGTTCCCACCACTCCCTCACTGATAAGGTGCTCACTGTGCCCGAACCGTGTGTGCAAGCCAGGTAGTTTGTGCTGAACACCTGCTTTCCTTCTGAAAGTCTGACATCTGATACGTCCCAGGCAGAGGCAGAGGGTGCCTACCTGACCAGCCCCCAGTAAAAACCTTGGATGCTGAGTGTCCACCGAGCATCCCTGGTAAACAACATGTCACGGTATTGTCACAATTTGTTGCTGGGGGGAATTAAGCATGTCCCGCATGGCACCATGGAGAGAGGACTCTTGGAAACTTGCTGTTGGTTTCCTCTAGACTTCAGTCTGTGTGCCTTTTCCTTTTGCTGATTTTTCATTTTGTGTTTGTTGGGGGGGTAGGGTGGTGAGAGAAAGAGCAATGTGTATGTGTGATGTGTGTGTGTGTGTGAGAGAGAGAGACACACACACACACACAGAGAGAGAGATGTGTGGCAAATGTCTGTATGTATGTATTTTTTACATGTGATTTTGCTGTAATAAATAATAGCCAAGAGTGCAACTATATGTCCAGTCCTTTGAGTTCTCCTAGTGAATCATCCATCCTGGGGGTGCTCTTGGTGACCCCCAACACACACCACTTATACAAGAAGTGTTTCCAGCTGCATCATGGTTTGAGGTAGCATTTTTCCAGTATATGTCTGGAAGATAGCTGTCTGGCAAAATGGCCAAACAAGGCTTACACAGTCTGGACTCAAGTCTTTGGTTATCTCCTTAGCAGACTAGGAAACTGGGTCATCCCCTGGTTCCTTCCTCAGCCTCAGCCGTGGGGCACCTGTATGTGTTCTCAGTGCACTGGGTGCTGCTCCGCTCTTGGTGGTGGTGACCATCCTCCCTGCCAGGCACTCAGGCTCCCTGCAGCCCGGCGTCCCTGCATGCCACTGCTGTCTGTGGTCCAGAGCTCCTACTTCCATTCCCATCTCCTGCTCACATGATACACAGAAGGAGGCCCTGTTTCTCTCCACGCTTCCACTGTTGTTCACAGTTAGAAACTGTGACCACTCCCATCACAAATTAAACAGCCTTTCCATAACGCCCACAAATGGGAGTTTGCAATTAAAACACTAAATCACAACTTCAGGGTCAAGCGATGTGGAAAAACATGTTGAAGTTTAAAATATACTCCCAACGAGAAAGTTGTCAAAAAAACTTCACACACTTGGATCACCAGCTGAGATGTGAATTAGTGAAATGTGAATTAGTGGAATGTCTAAATTACTAAATATTCTTAAGAAGTGGTTTTGTTACAATATTTAGGCAGGAGGGAGACCAAAGAACAGACAAGTTTTAACCTAGCCCAAGTTAAATTGCAAGTCTTAATTCCCCCCCCCCAAATAATTTGCTTTACTATAGATATCTCTAAAAGCTAGAATAATAAGGAAAGGAGATCTGCCACTGAGTACCACGAAATATTTTACTTCTCAATGGACTGTGCTGATACCTGTAGAGTGTTCTTACATGTCTGAATTACTCCTTAGGTAAGCAATTCTTCCATTATAAAAATCAGCCACCCTCATTATAACACATTCTAAAAATACATAAAAATGGAAACACTATTCTTTCACCCAGAGCCCTTACAACATAGAGATACCAATATTTTGCTGTATTTCTTACTAAATTT